GCTGCCTACCTACCAGACACACGTTTTCCTGCCTTGCTCTGCATTTCCCACTGCCTGGTGTGAGGAGGTTCCCGCAAAGATATATGAACACAAACCTAATCTCGAGCTTGACTCTTTCCAAAGCAACTTCAGCTGATCGATGCTTCAGCTTCATATGTTCTGATGCTACACATACCTCTCTACCCCTTCTTCTCTGAAACATTTCGTACTGGGCTGACCTTTTGGTGTTCATTTTGGAAACTTGGGAAGATGGTGGAGATTTCTGAATTTGAGTGAAGAGCTCTACGTGCTTAATCTGAGCTTACTCATTTAAGGCATAAAAGCTTAGGTGACTTGAGAAAAGCCTGGTTTGAATAGGAAAAAATTGTATTTAAGTTCTTAATTTTCAGTTATGTAACTTTTTAACTTTTTTTTGGACTGAAACTATCATTAAGTCTATAGGGAAAAAGTGAGGAATGTTTTGCTAATGTGCTTAGATATGTAAATATTAAAGAAGAAAATAAAAAAGTGGTTTTACCACTAAAGTTTTTTAGTAGCTGAAAGCTGAGAGGTTTTCAGAGAGAATATTTAAGGATAATTCCCTTTAATATTGTATTATTTTGATTGTGAATTTTTTGTCTATGAATATCATTCTTTTATGAGATCTTCCAGCTAAGTCAAACCACAGAAAGCAAATAATGCATTTCCTGTAGTAGGATGAACACCAAGGCTAACATTAGGAAGCCTTCTGTAATCTGACTTCAAGAAGGATGAGTTTCCAAACTTGCCTGAACCTTATTCTCGAGTATAGTAAAAGACCAAGAAGTAGATTCAGCAGGTGAACAGGTTGTGCTGTTTGCTGTGAGCAAAATCAAGAGCTGCAGATATGCTAAATAGTTTTCGTTTTAGATCTTATTTGAAAAATAGCCTTTGCAAAATGAAAAAACAAAGCACATGAAAATTTAGGGGGTAGTAGGTGCTGTTATCAGGCTTATATCTGTTGTTGTAGTATGTAATACTGGTGTGTTGCAAGCCGCAGATATATTTATAGCAGTATATGTATTCTGTTAATAATTCTGGAGCTGGTAGAGATAACATAGCGCTACTGTCATGTTTGTGCTGTTTCTCTGAGAGAATTGAAGTATGGCGATTATTCTTTCAGCATTAATACCTAGTGTCCTGGTGCCCTATTTCCTATGTTTTTAATAAAGGAAAAATAAAAATTTGAAGCCAAGTTTACTGTAGATTAATTGCAGTTCTACAATGTGTCAGGCCTAGCTGACAATGGTGATGTGCAGAGTTGACTTGGATCTGCTGTGGACTGCTCTGGCTTTCCTCTCCAAAGGATCAAGGCAGTCTTCCCCCTGGCAAGGATGCCGTTTGGAGCAGTGTGACAGACGGACTGACAAGCGAGAGACTTTTCATTCAAGTATTTTCCTTCCTGATATTCTGGAGACTTGCAAATCGCACGAAAACACTTACCTCCCTCTGTATGTGATTCACTTAAACCGGTGTTTTCAAGTAGGTGCTCTGAGGCTGTCTCACGAGCGCCGCGCGCTCGAGAGCTGTGCAGCAGGAAGGATTCTGTGGCAACGCTCTCGCTGATGACTCATGAGACCTGAGCTAGCTGCAGACTTCCTCAGTAACTGTAGCCAAGTAAATGTTTCTTCATGTAAACGGTTCTGGCTTGCTTAGGAGCTAATATCAGTTGGCTTTACGTAGTAATGTCTGTGAAGGTTGAATTCTTCCAGTTGCCTGTATTTTGGCAGAATTCTCTACAGGTGGCTCTTGGAAGATAGGAAGGACGCAGAAAGGCTGCTTGTAAATGACTGCTGACTGCACGGCCTACAGATTGGTGCAGTGCTGCAAGCAGAATCCTCTTGTGTGGAATTATGATTGAAGTATTTTCTTTGAAATGGTGGCTGTAAAGGTTCCTTTGGCATACACAAGCCACAAGACAGTCCATCAACCTCAGTTTTGAAAACTCTGTCAAGGTTTTCAGAGGCCCTCATTCTGTGTTGGTCTACTGGGCTCTTTTCCCCAGTCTGCTCTCAACTATTGTATGTCTGGGTGCTGCTTGAGGCTGCTGGGGGGATGGAGGAAAAAAAAGCAGCTGAAGTTCTCCAACGTGCTTTAGGACCTGAGAGTAGACAGTGACTTCTACTTGCTTTCTACTTCCCTGTGTAATAAAACATTCTATTCTTTGCTTTGGATTAGCTCTAAAGGGATCAGAGCAGTAGGACACGTTCTAGCCTCCACACAAGTTCTTAGCTTTTTACCTTGGGGAAATCCCTATTTGTTCCTCCAGTGTTTTGGTCAGCTGTCTGACTGAGAACTAAGTCACTTCATAATTGCTTCCAAGGCCAGGAAGGAGGATGAGTATTGGGCTAGAAATTGTGAACTTCAGGAAAGGGAGATCTAAATTAACTGAGGTATATAAGATGCCATGGGGAGGGGGAGAGGAAAAACAAATGGAAAAGCTTAAAGCACTGTTAAGGAGACAGGTAAGGAGAAGGGATTCAGAATCAAGGACAGACATGAGAAAGGGTGGTAGACACTTCATGGTCTTCTCTTTCTCAGCTAGAGAAAACAGTAAGGACATATTTACAGCAAGTGCAAAACTGAAGAGTTTGCCTGCTGCTCAGTGGGGAGAGGAGGAGAACAGATGATACCAAAGACGTCACACATTTAGCAATCTGCCAAGTTATTAACGCAGTGAAGTATGAACCCATGCTAGGTTGGGAGAAAAGAGTTGAATGGCAGTAACTTGACTTGTCCTGGCCTAAGAAGAGGTTGCATGTGATTCTGATGTTTTATTTGATCTTGGTAAAATGCATAGCAGAGACCTTAGAATTAGCTGGAAGTGAAAGATGAGATTATCATAGAGCTTACCTCTTAGCAGGCAGAAGAAAAGGAGGGAGATGAGTTAATGAGACTGACTTAAGTTGCCAGGAAAATACCCAGAAATATATAGCAAGTGAGATGGTAAATAGGTAACGTGTATTTGTCAAGAGCAAACTGTGTCATGCTTACAGAATTTGCTTTTGATGCAATATTAAACATTGTTAGTGGAGATTGCTTTGTTTAAGTAACTTGTTTAACAGGACCACCTGTTAGACTGGCTTTTCTGTAATAAGAATTTGCACAGCAAGCTCGATGTAACCCTACACTTTCTTATATGTTGCTTAGTCTCCTCCTAACTTCCCTGTCTTCTATTGAATAATGCAGCAGTGCATGTTCCAGGTGCAGCCCAGAAAGGTGTTTGAAAGGTTTAGCTAGGCCACATGGAAAGTATTTCTCCTCTGTGTCCAAGGGAGGCATATGTTAAAAGCTGCTATGCCAAGAAAGGGAGTACATAAACTTGCCTTTGAACGGGACAAAGATGTGTAATAATCTTAAATCAGAGTAAATCCTGTTCAGGTTGGAGGTGACAAGCAGAGCTGAGCATTGGAACTAGTTGTTCCTGGGAGTGCAGTTCACTAACACTGCTGGATTGTAGGTGAGTTTTGTCAGGGCTATCCAACAGGGCAGAGAGGTTGCTTTGAAATCCTCCCGAAGACCAGGAACAGTGGGAAGAGGAGTGCCACAGGAGGGACTATTTGGCTATCTGCATACTTGTTTTCCAGGGAAATCTCTTTTTGTGGCTGCTCTGTGTATATCCTCCATCACATGGCCAAAGGAGGGCCTGATAGAGGGATGACTTGTGCACAGGCCTGTAGGCCTCACAGCTTGATCAGGCAGATGGGTTTGTTACCTTCAACTAGATCAAACAGTGCTGATGCAGAAATGAATAAAGATCAAATAAGAAACAAGGGCCAGGCCTTTTTCTGCTGTATCCCTGTGTTCTGTGATTGAGTGCAAGTGAAGCAGTGTATAACCAGTGTTCAAAACTTTTAAAAATTGAACTGTTATGGTGCTCAGATATTAAGTAATTAGTATCTGGAGTCATGTGACTAGTTGTTGACTTTCCTGAGGGGAGTTTAAAGTTCGAACATTTGCCCAAGTATGCAAAGCTGGAGGGAGGGCAGGAACTTCATGTACTTTTCCTTAAACCTCTTCCTAGCTATCTGGCATCTTTTGTCCTATTTATTTGCTCAGCATACTAAACAAGAAAAGCTCTGTACTGTGTGCAAGTAACTTGTCATTCTGGGTGCTTTGAAAAGAAGTTTCATGGACGTGGTCAAGTCCTGCATGATGCAACAGATCAGATTTGCTGTTAACTTGACTCTTGTGGAGTGTTTCAGTTGTATGCTGTATTAATGAACATATCGTAGAACAGTTCTTATGAATTCTTAAGCTGTATGGTCTCTGATATTATGGATCCATATCCATGGTTCTCCTAGTTGCCCCATCTTCCATAACTTTTGAGCCTGTTACCTTCGTACAGCCGTTGTGTTTGTTTTAAGAGTAGTTCTTGGTGAGGAAAAAAAGATCTTGCTAGACCTTAAAATGGATGTTGGCTAAGGACGAGATTTTGAACTGACAGTGTCTGGGCACGAGGCAAATGGGATGGCCGTCTTGCTCCCCTGTTGTTTCCTGACTCGCTTCACTGCAGTATCAGTGAAAACTTTTTGGTGTGGTAGCCGTGTGAACTCAAAGCTACGCGTGTTTGAGTGGTGGTGTGAGAGGGGGCTACCAGTTGCTTCCCATCATCTGACAGACCTGTCTTTAGGTGGTAGAAATAGGAGATGGAGGCAGAAGATGCTGCGACTTTTTTTCCTTGCTGTAATCTTGTTGTTATATACTGGTGCTGTTCGTTATGATGTTTGTATCCTTTCATCTAAGATGTGTTAACTTAGCTTTCTTGTTTCAGAAGACTGGTGTTTTTCATTATGAAAGTTTATGTTCATTATTTTGGACATCTGTAGAAAACAAAATTGAAAATCTAGTAGTTAGTTAAGGCAGATAAGATCATGAGTTGTCTTTAAATTACTATATTTTATATTATTTTTGTATATTATCATAAGAAGTGTTCTGTGAAATTTTTCATTACTAACTCTGACTGCGTTTTTCATTCACAGCCCCATGACTTTGATGAATGCAGATTTGATATTAGTGTGAATGATAGCGTGTGGTACCTCCGAGCTCAGGACCCAGAACACAGACAGCAGTGGGTAGATGCGATAGAGCAACACAAGGTATGTTTTTGGGTTTGATTTTTGTTTTTTTTCTTGATTTCTCACTTAGTGTGGTGCTTATGGAGGGCTTTGCACTGTTGTTGAAAGTACTCACAGTACGGATGCCTGACAAAAGCAGTGACATTGTACTTCAATGTTAAATAAATTCACAAGAAGTGGACTTTCTGTCCTTCACAGATAAGGGTTTAGAGAAGTGAGATTTAACAACTTTGACCCTTTCTTGAGCTTCTCTTTACCTTTTAAAAAAACTTGCTCTTTATTTATGTGTTTTGGTTTGACTTTGTCCATCTTGTCTCACTGGATATTGAATTGTTTCTTCTCTGTTCTAGATGTTAACTCTGTTAGCTTTAAAGTTTGTCCTCCTAGATTATCGCTCTGCTTTTAAGCTAATCTGTTTGGTCTTTTGGCTCCTTTTACTGTATCTGATACTGGCTCTTGTCCCCGTGTTTAAGTCCGTCTCATCAGCATTTGAGTTCAACTTCCTGATGATGCTTCGTCTCTTCCAGTGAACTTGGTTGTTCATGTTTTATCTGGTGTAAGGGGCTTGACTTTCAAGTGTTACAGGGATACAAACAATAGATAAATATCTAAGTAGCTGAATATTTTTATACTGAACTCCTTCCAGCATTGCTTATAGAAGTACTATATATAACTAGGAAGCTTTGTCTTTTGTTGGCACTAAGTGTTCTTAAAAGGCTGTCTTCTGATAATAGCTCGCTAGAAAAATAGTTCCTTGATTAAATATTAGTCAACTTGCAGGTTGGCATTTTGCCTTCACTGAGACAGTTAATGTTTAAAACATATAGAACTGAACTACACAATAGTTTTTTTTAAAGTTAAACACTGAATTTTGCCTTAGATCAAAATGCTGCACTTTGTTCTTGAAATGTTCTTGCAATATGTGAAAGAAATGATTTGAGACAATGCACCGAGCAAGTTGCTGGGATATATGTCTTCAGAGCTGGCACTTGAGGACCTTTGTTTTATAGGCGTAAGGTGGTGGGGACATTGAACTCGGGTTGCTTAACCTTGGGCTGAAATTCAGATTAAGTCTGTGTGATTTACCTGATGAATTGCAGCATTTAACACACAGTCCAGCTTAAGCAGAAATGGGCACTCAATCATTGCGCTGTGCCAGAAGGGAGGAGGCAGGGGAAGGAGGCAACAAATCCTATTAAATTGTGCTGTGTGCCACCTGAAAGGGAAGGCCTGCTGATGCTCTTGAGTCTTGCAAGGCTGTCCTCAGCTGCTGCTGAGCACTGGGCTGACAATCTTCAACCATGTATTTGTGATGGGAAAGAATTGTGTGATGATAGCTTAAGGCTTATCGCTGCATATGTAAATTTGGAATTGTCTTGGTATCACAAAAGACGGCTAGCATGTATCAGCATCGCATCTTATCTCCTGTCCCGGTGCCCAGTCACTGTCATGAGGTGTCTGTTTGCACATATAGATCTAGATTAGTTGGATGCTCTTGGTAAACTTCTAATTGTATCATTCAGCCTCTGCTCAGCTCGCTAATGAATGCAGAACAGCATGGATTCTAGCATTGTCTTTGAAGAATTGTTATTAATTATGACCTTTTTTAAGATACTCTGCTTTAAATATTAATTTCAGTTTAGCGATTATACTTCTATACTTTGCAAGAAATCAGTGACTAAAAAAAAAAGAGCAGGGTGATGGGGGGAAAAAAACATGTATCAGCCTGCACTGTTTCCACACATGGGGAATACAGTCGGAAGCCACTTATTTCTAGAGGCCACTTAACCTGTGCAGCTCTTTCAGTATTTGCCTGAAGTCTGATATCAGGATAGTGATAGGAGAGGGTCACAAGTGCTTGTTTCATGCTTTTGTTAAACTTATCTTTCTGCTTGTTGTTAAAAAAACATGCTTAGTCTTTTGGAGTGTTATCTAAGCTGAAAGTATGTCTGCAAGTAGAAGTAATTCCTTCTGTGTATGCTGAAGTGACAAAAAAGAAATAATTCAGCTCACTTCCTGCATGGTAACACTGGGCTTGCATGGTTCAGAATCTGGCTTTCAGTCTTTGTTGATTGCAGTTCTGTAGCTGCTATTCCTTCCCCGTCAAGGTTTCCTATATATTTATTTTAATCCTGAGCTGCTTGCTCGGTTGAAGGCATAGCAGTAGTTTGCATTCTTTAAAAGAGCAGAGTGGTCTGGCACCTCACAAATAAATTGTCAAACCATCTAATATATTAAAGCAATACATTATTTAAAAGCATTCTATTTGTAGTATGTAACTAAATGCCATGATCAATACAAGACAAAGCATGCAGCAGATGGTACTGCTTTGTAGCAAAAGCTTAACCTGAAGATAAAAATGTTTTAAAAGTAACCTTGACAAATCATGAATCCTTTGCCTTTTCTTTTCCAGGGCAATCTTTACTATTGCTTTTATAATTTGAAGTATATAATTGGAAGTTTTATAACTTCAATTGTAGTGTGGTTGAGCAAACTTAGAGGTACTTTTCTTATTAAAATGCACAGAAATATGATTATTTGACACCTTTGCAAAGTGCTACATGCAGTTGTTTGATTTAATTACAGAGAAAACAAATGTCCAAATCTAGTGCGGATTTTTTTGGGTTTTTTTCCTGGTTAACTTTAACTTTTTTTTCCCTGAGGGTGTGTTTCTCTCATATATATCAATAAGATGTTTTCTGAATGGAGTAGTTAATCCTGTATCTCAGTTGAGAAGTTGTATACGTTTTTGTAGCCAAAAATATTGATGCTTCAAAACACTGAGTCTGAAACATCGGGTTCATCTATCATGGAATTTGTTATAAGAACACTTCAATAATCTCCAGTTGTAATTAAATAACTTTGCTTGATTAAGTCTAGAAGATGAACTGTTCTGTTTGGAAACAAAGTAGCACATTTCACTGCAGAGTTTGATCCAAATATGCTTATTTCGGTTTTTCCAAAAGACTTTTTCTAGTCAGTTTACTAGTACTTAAGATTGTGATCAGGTTACTAATACAAAAGTCTCTTGAAAAAACTATTATTGGTAGAATAAAAAAAAAAAAGAGAAACTAATTTTATTTTTGTACTAACAAGTCATTTTGATCAACTTCAGTCTATTGGTATATAGAGGGCTTATTTTTGGTTTTATTTGAGGCTCTTTGTAGCTTGCTGAGGGGGTAGGTAGTCCTAGTAGGCTGCTGAAGCTGTTTGCTAACAACAGTGTGTTTGTGAGACTTCCTGCAGCGTGTCACAAGGTTGTTTATCTTTAGAGTATGAAAGAAAGAATGAAACTTTGCAACTATGTCTCATTGTGCTCTGAACAGAGGAAACACTGATTTAAAATGAACTTTGTATTAAATTTGAGCATGAGCAGGCTTAGAAAAACTTACTGCTTAGCAATATTAATGAGCAGCTGGTAGCTTAGAAATGTAAAACATCCAATGTTTAAGCATAAAAATTCTGTCAGAATTTGCTGCTTTTTTTTGTTCTGCTTTTGATTGCATTAGCCTTTTCCCGTGCTGAGGTTCCCGAGTATTTACCAGATTACATGTTTTGGGTATTTTGCAGCATCTACAGTATTTCTTAATCTCTGCAAACTGGGGAGGAGAAAACTGAGGCCAGGGACGAGACCCTCAGTTAACCAAATGAGGAAATAGTTTATGCCTAAGCAGCAGCCCTGTGTTCTCGTGAAGTGTTCGGTCAAACTTGCCGCAAAACAGCGTGGTTGTGAGGGAGGCACATCCATAGGAAACTTCTCTCTCTCCTCCTGCTAGATGAGGAGGTCAGATGGAAGCTGGTGCCTGACCTTTGCTTAGATGGACCTGACAGCAGGAGTGAAGGACTTGACACGCAACTCTGAGAACCTTCTAGATAATTTACACAAAAATAAGTTCCTTTTTTTAATCTTGCTCTTTCTTAAACACTGAAATACACGTTGGTTTGGCATCAGAACCGAGTAGCTTGAAAAATCATTTATTATGGTATCTTCACAACCCAAGCTTATTCTCTACTGCATTAGCTGTACTTGTATAGATCTTGGTCGGACAGTGAAGAATCCTTTGGCTTTGGCAGGCTAATGGAGTCAAATTCTATAAACACTAAAATATTTTATTCACTTTAATATGTGCTGATATGTTTCCAAGCTAGAAAACAAAAATAGGATGTAGATTTTGAAATGTTTCTTTTCTATATATGGATTTTAGTCCATAGCTTCACTTGGTGATTTTTTGCTTGAAATATTTATAATCAGATGCAATGCAGTTCAGATTAAGGTGCAAACTTTAATTCAGGTAAAAGATCTGCCTGAGTGGTTTGTACTATAAAAAGATTGTCATTGGAACATTTTTTTTATGGTTCTTGAGCAAAAATCACTGTTCCAAATTTTGTTCATTTATCTCGGTGAAAGTATTTTTGTTCCTGTGTTTAGAATGGTGACCTCTCTTCTGTTGTGACAGCTGCAGCTTCTTAGTCCAGCACACTTCATTCTTCCTTCTGTTAGTTGTAGCAGTGCAAGTATCAGGTATGGCATATGACAAATACCCAAACATATTGCCTGCACAGAAGCTCTCCGTTTTTGATTCTGAAGGGTAATATCTGAAAGCTCTGTGCCAAAATACACATTGGCAAAGCTTTCCCTCCTGGATGCTGTGCCATGTGAAAGGCAACCTTTTGGGAAGCGTTAACTCGAGATCAGATGGTGCAGAAGGCCGTGACACGAGTGCTAAGCCGTCCGAGTCTGATGGTCAGTATTTCTGAGGACAGTATTGTAATTCTAATTAAGGAAAGGTGATGGACGTGCCCAAAATAATCTTTGTGCTCTTCCCCATGATGAAATGTTCATTTCAATGTTCAGTGTGATCAGGATTAAGCTACTGCACTAAATGCAGAGCAGGCAGGGCCAGAGGTAACCTGAGCCCCCAGCTGTAAACGATTCTAATGGGGAACTTGAGTCTGCTGTGGATTCACTTTGTGAAAACTGCAGTGGATTTGGATAGTGTGTCCTCTCTTTGAGTTGCACT